CCGGGGAGCGGGAGGCGGTGCATCCTCCCCTGGGCTCCTCCAGCACCTCGGAGCTGGGCCTCCTCCTCCCCCGGGTGCCTGGCCCCTCCTTTCCCAGGGCTTCCCCGTACTTTTCCTCGGCCTGACCCCCCACCCCATCCGCAGACCCCCCCAGTGACCCCCAGCTCGGGAACCGGTGCTTCAAGCGTGGGAGACAGGCAGGGCGGTGGGACATGAACGCGGCGTGGCCCCGGAGGTCCGGGGGGACGCGGCAGTGCTGTCAGCGGCGGGGAGGGTGGTGGGCGACCTGGCAATGTTGGCAGCGTCTAGTGGCAATCGTGGACCACCCGCAGACGCCGCCGGTGGTGTCGGCGGCAAGGGAGGGTTGGCGAGCGGCGACTGCCTGCGCCTTCTCACAGGGATGCACGTGCATCCGCATGCACCCGCTATGCATCGCCAGTGTGTCAGCAGCAGTGGACAGCTCAAGGACTGGGTGGAAAGCCAGTGGCTGGAAGCAGGGAAAGGCAGGGTCGGGGCACCAGTGCTGAGGTGTTGTTGGCACATGGGAGGGTCGTGCCATGCGGGGGCACTGAGGATGGCTGCCACACGCGCTGGAGGGCAGGCTGCAGTAGATGCTGCGCTGCTGGCAAGTCTGTCAGCCCCACTGGAGCGTGTCCCCCAGGGACAGTCTCAGTCATCTCTGCCTGACGGGAATCCCACTCCTTAGGACAAGGGGAAGGGCTAAATCACACAACACTAAACATTAGGCTGCCTTTACTTCTCGCTAGATGTTTCTTTGCCTTCCCTTTTGCTGCCCTTACGTAAGGAGCTCCCTGCAAACATCCTCAAGACCATGCTGTTATCCTCCCTGAAATCTTTCCCCCCACCCAGCTCTTCCACCATACTTACAAACCACTTGAGTGGTGAGGCAGGCATGAGTTGGGATTTGGTGCTGCTTGTATTGCTCGCAATGGTCTTCCTGCTTGTCTCTCGCCTCCACCTACTGGAGTAGTGTGTCCAGTTCTGGGCACTGCACTTCAAGAAGGACATGGATGAGTTCGAGAGGGTACAAAGAAGGGCCACCCACCTGGTCCAGGGCATGGCGGATAAACCCTATTAAGAGAGACTCCGGGAACTGGGCCTGTTCAGTCTGAGTAAGAGAAGGCTGAGAGGTGACTCGATAGCTGCCTCCGAATGAACACCGAGATCTAGATGAGCAACTCTTCAGGAAGGCACCTCAAGGGAGGATGAGGACCAACGGACATAAGCTTATAGAGCATTGGTGACATGTAGGGGGTGCATGCGGGTGCACGTGCACCCCCTGAGAAAAGCAGGCAGGTGGTTGCTGCTCACCAGCTCACCCCTGCCTTTGCCGCCAACACCGCTGGCAGCCACCACCACATTCCTGCCACCAACAGTGCTGCTGCCACATACAGGAGCTTGCCGTGCCCCCCAGCCTCTGGGAGCATGCGGCCTTCATGTTAGAGAGGGTAAATGCAAGCTAGATATAAGGAAGACCATCTTCTCTGTAAGGGTCACCAGAATCTGGAACACACTCCCAGCGGGGGTGGTGCGATCACCATCCTTGGAGGTGTTCAAGAGGAGGCTGGACAGGCACTTTGTTCAGCTTGTCTGAGTCCAATAACTTCCTGCCCATGGCAAGGGACCGGACTTGATGATATTACGGGTCCCTTCTGGTTTTACGATTCTATGATTCTGTAACGTGTGTCACCCTCACCCTTGTAAGCCTGTTCCAGCATGGACTGCTTCTTTGTGCTAGGCACCAGTCAAAAGGATAGAGTGTGGTCCGTGCCTCTAGGAGTATGTTAGGTGAGCCTCTGCAATTAACATGCCTCTACACGTTAACTTTATGTAATACTTCAGGGCAAAATGTTAAGAATGTTTTATCCATTTTAAAGTTCAAGAAGAATTTTAGGTAGAATGAACATCAATTTTGGTTTTAGCTAGGATTTTGGCAGTAGCATTTCATTGTATAGAAAATAATAGTTCTGGCCAAGACCTACAAAAGCAGAAACCTATGTTTAGACTTCAAAGTCTGGATTCAGATAAGAAGGCTGCCTAAGCACTCATCATCTCCCATTTATTTAATTGGAAAGCTGTTTGGTGCTCAGCCATTCTGAGAAACGTTTCTTCTGTAGGTGACTAGCTTTAGGCCCATAACATTGAGAACCTCAGCTGTGGACCCTCGATACTTTTGAGAAAATGACCACTTTTATTTGGATGCCAAGGCATGGATCTAGGAGTCTGAGCCATGTTTGACATGGCTGTGACATGCAGCAAATCAGTGTGACACAGCCTGGATTGAAACTCTGCAGTCCCTGCTCTCCAGACATATTCACTATCACTTAGTGAAACTGATAGGTTTGAGAGAAGGAGAATCATGGAAAATGTCAATGTGTGACCGTTCTTTGCACACATTTTAAAATATGAACGTTTACTTCTGAAGAACCTTTCCATTTGGCAGCATAACTCAAGCATAACACAGCTTTATTTCTAGATCATAACCTATTGTGCGCAATATGATCCAATAAAACCTATCATCATGGCGTATGAATATCTCTCTCTCCAGTCTGTAACCGTGACAGTGGGCACACATTACATAATATAGATTTTGCTTATGGCTGCTGACCTTGTTCATTTACCAAAAATCATTTCAGAGGGCCTTTTAAAGATGAAGATAATAGGGTGCCTTCTTTTGTGCTTCCCATTTGTTTTCTGGGTCATTTGTGCACTTGAATGAAACCTTCACATATTGTTGAATTCAGGTCAGACCTCTATTTGAACACTTGGTGCAAAACTTCAGCAACCGTTTGTGGTCCCTGGGCTATACTCTATGGGAATAGCTATATTGTTACTCCCTCATATTTTGCTCTTTTCTTTGGGCAAAACAGATCCTTCATTATAAAAAAAGAGAATCTCAGGGAAGATGATACTCACACTTCAGTTTACTTTTGCATGAACACTGTTAGGTTTTCATACAGAGAGCTAAAGTAAGGACAGAAATACTCAGAATTTCACATACCAGTGCTTGTTCAAACTTAGACTAGGTTGTCTCTTTAATAACATCATAAAACAAGGAGCATCTGTATTTCAAGGCAGTCTCTCCCTTGTGATTTACATACTGTATTTCCATTTTATTTTCTATCAGTCTTGCCAGAATGTTTTCTTCCTAACCTTTTGAAATATGGATCTTGACTGACTGTTTGGAAACTCAGATATATTCACATTAGAATCACAGTGATGTTCATTATGGATGGAATTGTGAAAGGTTGACATTCCTAGTGACTATTTTCTCTTGTACCAATAATGAGCAGTCAGTGAGGAGCTCTTGCTGAAGACAGATAATTTTATTCCTGGATGATTTTACATTTTCTTCAATCCAGGGACTTCATTATGGCTAAGCTGCACAGTTAATATAGGCTACTGAAATGACAGGGTTCCTCAGCCACATTTACTATCTCCTGTGATTAAGAATTTTCTTTGGATTGCTGAGGCTAAATGCTGAATTAAAGCTAAGGAGTGGTTGTGATGTGTTACTATGTGGATGGCCACATTTTTGACATAGTTATCCATTTGTTGTAAGACAAAATTAATTGCCATTTTATAACGAGAACTCTCTTTGATAATTTTAATATATGCTTAAAGAGACATTTGGGGGATAATATTTAAATACATTCTATCACATCATATTGCTATGGAAAAGATTGTAATGAAATGCATGTTCTTGAATTATTGGATTATGTTACTAGCCTTTGGTAGAATACCCTGCTGTATTGGTATAAGAGCAGTTGTTTAATGGCGGTTGGGGCAGACACGTACATCTTTTCTCTGACTGGAGAAGTCCAGGTCTTGTCTGCAATATCGTTGTTGACTTACCACTAATGAAGTGCCAGGAGTGGTAGAATCCCTGGAAATACTACAAGAGAGTATATACAGGTGTTTTCCTACCATGTAAAACTACCCATCTTCTAAGTCTGGTCTGCCCCTGTATTCCTACCGTTGCTAGCACTGACTCTAGGCTGGCAGTAGAAGTGGTGAACCTTCTTCCAAGTGTGGATCATCTCCAGAAAAGTTGACTCCTGTAGGCATGGATTAAAGTTGAACCTGACACAGAATTTCCAATTTGTTGCAGAGCAGTCAAATGATCCTATATCTCGCCCTCCCTTTCCCACCCAGTCTTAAGACCCATGCTCAGCTAGACTAATCCATATTCAGTTACAAAAGAGGCCTTCAGGATGGGGCTGGTCTGGTTTTGGACTGGGACCCAAGTCAAATTGCACGAACCAAAAGTATAGGAGGACAACAGAGAAAAAAAAGAGAAGGAGAGGCTTTGATGTGCCAGGAACAATGTGTCCAGGGCCTTGTCTGCTTCAGGGTTTCAGAAATGGCAGCAATGGATTTAGCTGAGCTGGTTCTAACTAAACCATGATCAACCCCCTCAGGTAAAACAGAGCTGTCCAAATGACAGTCCCAGAGTGGTTCAGTCAGGGCCCATAGATCAGGGCGGGCCATTATTTTGGGTGAAGGGCCACTTACCGAGTTTTGGGAGCTGTCTAGGGCCACATTGGTAGCCCTACCCCTTGACAGTTGCCCC